AGGGGAAATAACTCAGCACAGATGAAGAGGAAGCAACAGCAGCCTGCAGGCGCAGGAAAGCAAAGCTGAAGAAGCAACAACAGACAATGGTGCCATCAGGTGTAGTAAATCGCTACCGCCTTCACACCCTGCTTCCCCCTCCCCCCCAAAAAAAATCATTACTGAGCTGTAATATAGTATTTTTCATCTTTTTCATATATTTTCATATAGCATTTTCTTCTTTTTTGGATTATCTTTTTTCTACAGAAAAGAGATTTAAAATATTTATTTTCCTTCTTTACCAGTGATTTTTTTCTTTTTTGATTAATGGAACTGGTCAAGCTGCCGTCATTTAAACAGCATGTGTCAGCATTTTTCTAGTTCTTTATTCCTACAGTTAACCCAAAACTGAAATGTAATGATAAGAGAATAAAAGCGACTGTCTTGATGGTCGTATCTTACAATCAGTTGAAGTCTGTATGTGTGGATAAAACTCGTGATTATATATTACAGCTTTCTAGTAAACCACTTATTTTTAACCCTGCTTCACGTCGTACTGCCGCCCATCGTCTAATCAAGGGAGGCGTGGAGACGTGCTGGGTCACTGTGTGCCTGGTTAGTAGCTGTGACTTAAATACACCCATCTCCTGTTTCAGCAGTGGGAAAAACACCCTCAAACTGGTCAAGAGATTTACTCTTGTTGTTACGCACCATGAATGATCAGTCAGTCACTTCAAGAGATTTACTCTTGTTGTTGTTACGCACCATGAATGATCAGTTGCTGGCCTCAAATAACAAAGAAAAGCAAAACAAAAGCTTTATTGCCATAGGATGTTGTGCCACACGCAATGGGATCAGTAAAGCCTGGGCTCCGGATGTTTCCCTACAAAACAAGGCTCAATGTGATCTCTATCATTTCGCTGTTGTCTGATTGATTGTCTTTCATTAAGATGTGAGTCATCATTAATGTACTCAGGCCTACCTATTTTCACAATGTTTTAATGGAACCCTGTTGAGATCTCAGTCTCTCTGTAAATTCTGCTGAAACCAGCCAAAAGTGACAGATTGAAAGACAAGCGAGGTGGTAGGGAAGCGCGCTGTGATTGAAGGTCTCCGATGAGAGAACAGAGGTCTCGCAAGGAAAAACTCATTTCAGAGACAAAACCAGGGCAATATCGCACCATTCCATCAGCCAAGAACAAAACAGAGAAACAAGCAGGACCTGAAAAGCCCGATTTTGACCATTTTTTCCCCCCTTTTTACACAGGACCAATTATGTGGTCTCCCTCAACAAAATGACCGTCTAGCATAATTACGGCTGTGCAGATAGGCAGCTGCAGTTGAAGAGCACACAAGCATCCTCCCCCTCTCCCCCCTGGGGGCACGGAAAAGTTGGTAGAGAAAAAAAAATTGGTAGTGTGGCACTGGCACACATACGGTTTTTAACAGGAGAAAAATAGTAATATAATTACAGGAGTGCAGCTGTCACATGGTTTGTCACCAGTTATATGGGTAATTAAGGATGTGATGTTTTGGGTTAAGCTAATGCGACTTGATGCGAGCGCTTCATCAGCCTCACTGGGCTGGCAGGGTGGGGAATAAGCAGCGAGTTTTAAATCATTGCCATCTGTGGACTGGCACGTTGTCTTACTAGAGGACAAACTGTCATACAGAACTGCACACACTTAACCAAAACAGTACACTACCAGTCACTTGTATGCATAGATTAAAAAAAAACAAACAAAAAAAAAAAACAAACCCAAAACCAACTCTTAATCAGGAAAAGAACTAAACTTTCCCCATGGTTAGCCCATCTGTGAAGTAGAAGCTTACAAAGTTCCCCAGCAGAAACAAATATTCTCAACATTCTTGCTCAGAAAGTGCTCTTAGAGTCTAAGCAGGAGTTTTGTACAAATTCTGAGGTAACAAACTGAACCCCAACGTATAACCTTTCTGCTTCCCATTACCGCCACGTGGGCACTAACTGAGCTCAGAACCATGAGAGCATCCCCTCCCGGGACTCCCCCTCCCCCGCCCCCCGAATCTCCTCTTACTGACCACTCAGATGGCAAAATTTCATTGAACTTTTCCTTCTTTATTTCTAGGTCATGTAGTTTACAAGGAGTTTTATTATGTCGGTGTAGAGTGACAAAGTAAAATGTAAGTACACGGTTATAAACAAGCAGCAATATTACAGAAAACAAGATATACACTTTAATTGTCCTCTGTAATCATGCTTTAAAAGAAGGTGGAAAACCGTTACGTACCATTTGTCTACGGGGTATGCTCAGTGCAGTTAGTAGCACACCTGCACAACAGAATGAAGAAGAGCGAGCTCGCAGAGTTGTGCTATACTTTAAGCTCCTCCCCAGCAACTTAAAAAACGAATTTGCGATTGTACTGACCCTTGCGTCATACCCGTGTTTATCAGCACTTCTGATGGATAGTCTTCCAACGGTGACATTTTTGAAGGCAAAACGATGTTTCCTTAAAAGTAAGGCTAACGGAAAACCATTACAAACTGGTACCGCGTTGTTTACAAAATAATACGGAACACCACATAAGGTAGGAAGAGCTAAACGAGACATTTCACACGTACAGTAAAAGCAGACGAAGGAGTTACGGTGGCTAAAGCGGGATAAAGTTGGGTGCCCAAGCGCACGCTCTTACCTCCCCCTGCGCCCAGCCCTCCCACACAGCCAGCGCAGGGCACCGCACTCAAATCCTTCCGCAGTAACTGGTTCCGCTGTCCGTGCCCACACGGACCTACGCAAAAATACCTGGAGCTGCAAAGGGACCGCGGCGCTTCAGAGGAATACCGTCTTTGTCGTTACACCAAAAGCAGCGATTCGGTGTGATTCTGTGATCACGCCGTCAGCCTTTAGTGACCTGGGGATCAACTACAAAGTGCAACTGCAAGGAAAATTAAGTTAAAAAAATAGATTACACATCTGATACTTACAAAAAGCAAGCCTTCAGTTCAAATGACTGATTTTATTGTTTTTAAACAGTGAGTTTATTTACTGCCTCATCTTGAAATCCCTGACAAATAAGCAGTTCCGCTAATTTAAATGTTTGCATAAATAGGGATAGCTTGTCGCTTAGTATATTCAAGACTGAGTGAAGAAGTACTACCTGCACAGAAAATTCGTCAGTGCAACATTATAACACAGACATGGTTTTAGCATGAAACAACCTCTCAAAAATACAATACACTTCTTTTTCTTTCAGAAACTGAGGCCGCGCTTCTTTCAAAGGAAGCTGCTCTTCCGTTCCCAAGAGATCTGATTTTTAAAGCATCAATACTTTTCAATAGCAAACGACTGTAATTTTACATTCAAGATACAGCACGCTTTTTTTCAGTGAATCTCGGTTTAAGATAATCTATATTTAAATAATCTATATATTACATATAAAAATACACATCTCTACCATAAATGAGGTCTTGTCTTTTTCTAAATGTCCTGGCCTTTGGGGCAATTGCCCTTGCTGCAGGTCTGACTCATCTTAAGCTCTTAAACCAAGGACACATTTACCGAGCAAATTCTGCCACAATCTACTCAGAAAAGTATTTCCTCAATATACAGTCCTGGAACGCAACTAAAATACAACTCAAAAAAACCTGTGTGTATAACTTTCTGAATGATTGTTCAAAAAATAGCATACTGTAGAACTTCATTTTCTGATTGAGAAATGCTTGAGATTCCAGCCAGCACTGTAAATTTAACTTCCCCAGTAAATCTCTGAGTTGGAAGGAAGCGGGCTGTAATCTCAAGCCCTTACATTAACAGATGACAGGGGAAAAGGTTCCATTAACCTATTTACGTTTCCAATGCGAACACATCTGTTTATTTCCATATGCTGTCAGGGCACATATTTATTGAACAGCTGAATGTTGGAACATGGAGATGTCAACAGGTAAATTGCCCATTGCGCTGTATTCAGATGCACATTTCACAATAGCAGAACGGAATTTATTTCCTCAAGGGTAAACCTGTCTATCTGTCCTTCACGTTTAAGAGCACACAAAACAACGCGTTTAGAGATACTAATCAAAGAGGAGTTATAAACAATTGCTCAAACTTAAGCATTGTTCAATTTACTTCAAATTCCCTCAGCCACAAAGCAAAGCCGTTACCTCATGACGTTGGCAGACGTGTGGTGTCTAAGAATATGGCTACAAGAACGGGTGCACATTCTTTCAACTATTCTTTCAACCTGGTCAGAATTCTCATAGCTCTGTTAGCACGACAGTGTCCTCTAACTGTTAAATTATTAAATTAATAATTAAGGCTATTAATATGCATAGAATAAGGGCTACCATGGTGATATGAAGTCCTGTGAGGAGACCTCACCGTCTTCCAGAATGGTTAGAGAACCTGGGTCTTTTTGTACCAAGCCAGGTAGATATGCATATACTTTTAAATTTTTGATCCTTTCTTTCTAAAACTTGTATCTATTTTTTTTTTAATTAAGTTACCTCACCATCACGCAAAACAAAATCCTCAATTTCTTCATTAAAAACAAGGCAAAAATGCTCTCTTAGCTACCAGAATAAGAAGCGCCTGAATATTGCCTTGGTGAAAAAAAAAAATCAAGGTAAACCTCAGAGTAACACTGTGGGGAAAAAAATGCCACCTAATCAACTGCACGTGTAACTAACATTACTATTTCTAAGAACTAGAAAACCTTAAGTCAGCTATCTAGGAGCACTCAAAGGAACAGTGGAAATTTCAGTATTCAGAATTTTCAAAAGCACCTTTTTTCTGGGGAGACCAGGAATAGCACAGAGCAAACACCACTCGGGCTCAGTTTTGGTCTTTCTGTCTAACGTCTATCACTTTCCCTAAAGAGATACACAGATTTAGGCAGCAAGACCCAGTATTGAATCTATGGATAATTTTTCTTTTATGCTGCGAGACGTTCATTTTAATGATAAAGATAGGCATGATGAAGAAATACTTGCCGCTGTCTCAGAGCCAACATCTTAATGAGATATTTCAGAATAAATGCAGATAAAGATTTATTTGCGTGAGCATTCAAACGTGTTTAGGTGAAAAAAGGACTGCATCTGAATTTCAGTACAAGCTTCACAAATATCTATTACTAAAATTGAACAACACATAGGGTCCAGAATTTGCATTGGCACAATTTAAAACTGAAAATATGAAAGACCTCATTCTTTAGGAAAAACAATAATTTAAATTTAAAGCTTTGAGAGACAAGGTGTATTAAATTTAAAATAACCAGAAGTAGTACCGTAATTAGAAAGTCACGCTCAGAATATAGATAGAAAGGAAGAAATACTGGAGAAACAGAATAAAACTGTGTCTTTGCTGAGGTACGAATAGAAGGTTCCGTAGTACAGGATTAACTCTCTCAATGGCAAATCCATCACATACAAAAGTCAAACCAAAATTCACTTATCACGCAAGTCAAAATTTACACGTAATAAAGGCAAGGCAATACTCAGTTATGGCCTGTCAAATATTTACCCCACTAACATTATCTACAGAAGCACTTTACCATTTTGTACACAGTGATTCCTTATGCACATTGAAAGGCTTTCAGTTAAAAAAAGACATTATATACATATCTGTACACAATTCCAACAAACATACTCCGTCTCCCAGTGGAATTCTTAAAGCAAGATACCTGAGGTTTCTCAATATCTTCAATTTTTCTATCACAAACCTAAATATACATTTCAGATTTTACAAAAAAGACACCTCCCTGGAATATGTGCATTATCATTAAAAAAAAAAATATATAGCTTTAAGGAGCTGAAAAAGACTGCCTCCATCTGAAAGACTTCGTTTTCACTCTTGCACATTTAGGAACGTCCTTCCACCAAGGGACATTCCAGTGACCGAGGGGCAGAACAACATTAGGGTGCGCGCCTTCAATGCGGACAGCGCGGGATCTCTGTTGTCTTAGAAAAATCAGGAACAGCACGTCAGTAGGATGAAGTACTTCCTCCCGCGAGTGAATATCTGAAGAGGAAAAGAAATAGTTATCGCTGTGACCTTCGGAACTGTGCTCTGCAACAAGCAGCAACTAAAAGTTATTGCATTTTCCGCTATTGAAGTCACAGCTTCTTTCCTTGCAGAGTGGACACCACCACTGCTGTCACGCTTTAAAGACAAAAGCCATGGGTGTGAACAACACGTAAAATACACCCTGTTAGAACATCGCTGCTTTTCTAATGAATAGCAACAACCCGTGTTCAAGTGTGTTACTGAGAGTTATATGATGATGTAAGAATTCTGTATACTGGGGGCAACATTTAGTGACTCCAACTTTCCTACTCGGCAAGCTTACGTCATAATCTTTGCAAAATATTACTGGGGCAGGAAACCTGGATTTTGTGGTCTAAGCAGATTCTTACATCATCCAAAGAAAGAAGCACATATTTAAATCATGTTAAGCTTTCAATAAACTTTAAAAAAAAACCCAAAAAACCAAAACTTTAAACTTTGCATAAACTTTATAAAACCTCAGAGATCTAAACTGGAGGGGGAAGGTAAATGGATTCACTTGAGTTATTGGGCTGATCTTTCCGAGGGTCCCAACTAACTCATTCACACGAACCCCGGAAATCCAGTTTTAACCAATCACAGAAGGAATGAAAATCTCATCAAGAAGCAGGTTGTTGAAAAGCCATCTTCAGTAGTTGGCTATCAAACTGAGAGGATATTGTAAGCGGATACAATGAATGACTTAATGATGTAACAGAGCATATTTCTTGCAATATTCAAACAATTTCTTGTAATATTCAAACAAGAAGGAACTATCTTTTCAGAAGCTGACTAGCTCCAATAATAGCTCTACACATGAGGGATATCTGCTGAGCTATGGAGTGGTTCAAACTCCTTTTTAGGGGGGCGGATCCTGCCATTTATTTCTTTCACTCCCTTTCCGGAAGGAGTGCTAGTCACGATCACACACTAGCTGAATATCATCCCTGGAATAAGTGAAAGTTCACCCAGATGTGACCCATCAACAAGCATTCCCTGTGAATATTTGTTTCTCTCCTGCAAAGAAAATGAAGTGCCTGCCTCTACTGTTACAATAAGACATTATGAATGAGAAAAACAGCAACAGTCCAAAGAAGCAGAACAGAAGGAAAACAAAACGCTGAATAGGTATATAAAGGGTTCTGAAATCTGTCTTCTAGCACAAAAATGACGACCGTTGCTGTCACGACAGGAACAAGTAAGATCATCTCCAGCACCCATGGAAGTGTCCAGTGGAAAGCCTGTCTCCACGTGGTCATTTTCAACTTCAATTGCAGCATTAAAAGTCTTTGAAGTTCTCATCTCCAGGAAGGCCCTGTACTAGAAACCTGACACCGAAATATTGGGCTGCTGAAAGACTGGGGTCAGTTTTGGAACCCTTAATGGAAACAAACTGAGATGGAAGCTCCAGAAACTCTTTCAAGCCTGCCAGGACCAACTAAAAGGAGAATCAGGACATCTGGCATCAAGGAGTGACCTTTTAGCACCACGGATGCTGACTGGGCTTCACACTTAACAGCCCAGAAAGTAAGAAACGTAACTGCTTGCAGATTTCCTGGCATTGATCTTTACTGAATGACAAAGTGTCAGCCTGGCAATCCTCTGCTTTAACTTCAGAAGTGTGAATTCTTAAACTTTACCAAGCTGTGGTTAGAAACAGCATAAGGGACACACCTGCTCGGAGTGATCTTTTTCAAGGTAGCAGTCCATGATTAATCACCGCCATGAGTTTTTTCTAGTACCAAGCAATCCAACCTGGACGGGGTAGATTCACAACAGCTGTGCACTCCTGGATACAAGGCTGCATTTAAGGCCTCTTCAAGCAGTAATTCTGAAATTGATACCCCTGATCTTTGCTTGTGTAGTACTTCAAAGAACAGCAAATTGAGTGTTTGTTACGAATATATTCCTAACCTAGGGAGTTAGAAAATCTCTTACGAAATTTGGCCTTTTGAAGTAATACAAAATGTTGGCTTTGGAGGTGCCACCAAGAGGCCATACAGACTGTCTTTAATGAATGAACAAGGAACCACTTACTATGAGACTGAAAGAAACACAAACTAACTGAACAATCCATTTATCAACCTGGGTAAAAAAAATTAAGAGTGACACAGGACATCCTCTGCAACATACACGCAGACACTAAGAAAGCGTGAATGTGCCCTATAGGAACCGCAAAGGGAAAAGGCTGTCCAGTCTCATTTGACACACAATATGCACACCAACAGGATGAACGTACATCTGGGCTATCACCTGAAGCTAGAACTGCTGATACAATTAAATTTTTTTCTACTAAGCAAATACAACTGTATAAACTGTAAGCACAGGTGTTTTTTTCCTCTGTTATAAATAGAAATTAGTTCTTTCAATTCAACACTAGTCAAACATTTGAGGGACCTGGACAGGCTGGAGAGGTGGGCCCAAGCCAACCTCATGCAGTTCAACAAGGCCAAGTGCAAGGTCCTACATCTGGGTCGGAGCAATCCCAAGCAAAAATACAGGCTCGGCAGAGAATGGCTGGAGAGCAGCCCTGAGGAGAGGGACCTGGGTGTGCTGATTGACCAGAAGCTCAGCATGACCCAGCAGTGTGCGATCACAACCCAGAAGGCCAACCGTATCCTGGGCTGCATCAAAAGAAGTGTGGCCAGCAGGTCAAGGGAGGTGATTCTGCCCCTCTACTCCACTCTCGTGAGACCTCACCTGGAGTACTGTGTCCAGCTCTGGAGTCCCCAACATAAGAAGGACATAGACCTGCTGGAGCGCGTTCAGAGGAGAGCCACGAGGATAATCTGAGGGCTGGAGCACCTCTCCTATGAGGAGAGGCTGAGAGAGCTGGGGCTGCTCAGCCTGGAGAAGAGAAGGCTCCGGGGAGATCTTATTGCGGCCTTCCAGTCCCTAAAGGGGGCCTCCAGGAGAGCTGGGGAAGGACTTTTTACTAGGGCAGGTAGCGACAGGACGAGGGGGAATGGATATAAACGGGAAGAGGGCAGGTTTAGATTAAACATTGGGAAGAAATTTTTCACTTTAAGGGTGGTGAGGCACCAGAACAGGTTGCCCAGAGAGGTTGTTGAGGCCCCATCCCTGGAGGTGTTCAAGGCCAGGCTGGACATGGCCTTGGGCAACCTGGTCTAGTGGGAGATGTCCCTGCCCATGGCAGGGGGGGGGGAACTCGATGATCTTCAAGGTCACTTCCAACCTAAACCATTCTATGATTCGTAGAATCAGATCTGCAATTTTCTGTAACCCGTACTGAAATAGTTTCCTTACCTCTCAAGCCTCTGCACAAGGTGTGACACCATGTTATCTGCAATGCCTGGGCAAGCCTCTTCAGCTAAATAAATAGCCTTTCTCAGTTCTTCTATGGAATCTGTGTTACCACCACACACTTCACTCTTCTCTTTCAACTGAAAGAAAAATATGAAGAAATATATTAATAAGATATTAATCAATATTTCTATAAACAATACAATGCAAAAGCTTATTAGGAAGTGACTGCAGTGTTCACAACATCAGGATTTGACTTTCATTATATACCCTCACATCCTGAAGACTTTTTTCATCCTGAGTTTAGTCTTTGCAGTAGTTATCAGGATGTCATTCATCTTCATAAGTCTTCAATCATTCACATATCCTTTGGGCGTGCTCACATTCAAAAATTACAACAAAGCATTCCAAGAAAGAAACACTATTTACCTGTAGCTGTTCAGTTTCAAGATACACTGCTTATACTTGTTTTAGTATATATACTTGTACACCTATAGCTTATGTGTATACGTTACATAAGCACTTGTGCAAGCACTGTTAGAAAATGTTTTCACCCTGTCAAGTCTACCAACAGAGTACCCTGAGCGCTCTCATCTTCCCCCTGAAGCCAAGGATCCCACGCTTAGGCAGGACCTGAGGGCTCAAAGGGAAGGCCTCAGTGCTTTGCTTATGTAGGAGCTGGTATAACATGCTGAGTACAGCTGATAAAATGCTTTCTTTCTCAGAACTCACTAAAGAACATTCAAAAATCTTAGCAGGGTCTGGGCTTCCTTAGAGATATGTGTCATATTACCAGTAGTAAAGGGTGAATGAAGATGTGGCCTTTTTTCAAGGACTGGACTTTCCCCAGAAGGTTGGATGTCTGCATTTACAACTTTCTCTCCATATGTATCACTACAGCTGTTGTCAAGAGCTGCTTTGCAGCATCCTCTTAAGAAGGATGGAATCAAAGTCATTTCACAGGGAAAAAAACCCAATACACACTCTGGTGAAAAAAACACTCCAGTTGGAAGCTGACTGGGCTTACCAGTGCTTTGGACTTAAGAGTTTGAACTGTTTATGCAGAACTGAAGAACAGTGACATATTTTTCCACATATTTCTCTACAAACTATTCACTTAAGAGTTGTCTCTGAATGCTGGATCTATAGCAAGTCTGCCTTTACTACCAGCAATGAAGAAAGCTTAGCTTGAACAAATGGAAAGCTTTTGCCACTTTCTGGGATATAATGTGGGCATGCATACACTTAAGTATATGGCCCTACTTAAGTATAGCACAGGGGATTGTCACATGGAATAAGCATGATCCCCAGAAAGCAGAATGAGTAGATCAAGACAACTTTGAGTTCAGTGTAGTACAAGACACTCCAGAGGGAAAAAAGCGGCAGTGAAGTTCTTCAGAGACATCCAAGCACTAAAACGGCCTTTCAAGACTTTCTGAAGAGGACTTTCAACAAGTGTCGGGAACTACAGCTCAAGAGTTGCCATCAGCATTGAGAAAAGGTTTTTCTTAAAAAAGGAATCAGAGTCTTGCAAGGGAAAATATAAAGGAATCACAGAATGGTTAGAGTTTGAAGGGGCCTTAAAGACAATCAAGTTCCAACCCCTCTACCATGGGCAGGGACACCTCCCACTAGACCAGGTTGCTCAAAGCCCCATCCAACCTGGACTTCAACACCTCCAGGGATGGGGCCTCCACAACTTCTCTGGGCAACCTGTTCCAGTGCCTCACCACCCTCAGAGTAGAGAATTTCTTCCTAATATCTAATCGAAAACTACCCTCTTTCATTTTAAAAACGTTACCCCTCATCCTATCGCTACACTCCCTGATAAAGAGTCCCTCCCCACCTTTTCTGTAGCCCCTCTAAGTACTGGAAGGATCCTCTATGTCTCCCTGGGGGCTTTTCTTCTCCTGGCTGAACAAACCCAACTCTCTCAGCCTCTCCTCATAGGAGAGGTGTACCAGCCCTCTGATCATCTTCATGGCCCTCCTCTGGACTGAGTCATTTCTGGACTGAAGTAATCATTGCTCTAATTCCACATTTAGCTCTCAAAAGCAGACATGCATGAAAGCAAAGGGTACAGCTAAAACTGTAACACATCAAGTTCCAAGTGGGTTGTAGAAACCTTAGGTGTCATTCATCATATTTTTCAGAGACAAATTCTGGAACTGCTAAGTTTTAAAGCAATAACTTACCTCTGCAAATAAAGGGGATATAACTGTAGACAGGCATTGGGATAGAGGCCTCTTTGGGATATCCTTTTCCTTTAAAGAAAACAAAATTCTGACCAATTTTATTTCTGAAAAAAAGCATCCTCATTGCATTCTGTTTCCAGTCAAAGAAAAAAAAATAGTTCCAACATACCACACTTTAAGAAAAAGTCTATTTCTATGTATATACAAATATGGAAAAAGTTCTACAGCACATTATTCCAAAGCACTGTGGAAAATTGACGCTGAATTAAAATTTGAGGCTGTGGCACCTCAAATACATGCAAGCTCAATATTACACACACACACACCCCCAACCCCACAATCCTACTGAGCACGTACTAAATCACAGACATGCTGATATTTACTAGGTTCTTCCCACATGATACAGTATTTTTCTTACATTTCTCCAATTCTGATAAGAGCATACACAGAGAATTTTCAAAGCCAGGGTAGCAACCACTAGCCACACAGGCTGCTGAAAATAGGATGCAGCAGCTCCCAAACTTCGCCTATTCCAGTTGAGGTTTTTTTGGGCTCATGCACATTCTATCCTTTGCTACCTTGTAGGCTTTTTTCCTAAAAGACCAGAATGCCTTCCCCAAAACCACAGCCTAGCTTTGTGCTGTACAGGTTTAAGTTTACTTTACAGAAGGAAGATTTTAAAAATAAAATATTGCTTGGTCTTCCTCCAGTGGTAACATTTCACAAACTACAAAATATTTTGGGACATATTTCACCAACTACAGAAAAAGGACACGTTTACAGAATGGAATCATAGAATTGTTGAGGTTGGAAGGGACCTTTAAGATCATCAAGTCCAACCATTAACCTAACCTGACAAAACCACTTCTAAACCATGTCCCCAAGTACCACGTCTCCCCTTTTCTGAAACCCCTCCAGGGATGGTGAATCCCCCACCCCCCTGGGCAGCCTATTCCAATGTTTAATAACCCTTTCAGTGAAAAATTTTTTCCTAATATCCAATCTAAACCTTGCCTGGCATAACTTGAACCCATTTCCTCTCGTCCTGTCACTTGTCACTAGTGAGAAGAGGTCAGCCCCCACCTCTCTACAACCTCCTTTCAGGTAGTTGTAGAGAGTGACAAGGTCTCCCCTCAGCCTCCTCTTCTCCAGGCTAAACAACCCCAGTTCCCTCAGTCGTTCCTCATAAGACTTCAAGACTTACTCAAAACGTTTTGTGAAAGGCAACTGTGGAATATCCATTTTTTGCAAAAGTTCTGAAAATTTTACAATTTAAATGCTTTAAAAGGTATAAAATAAAAATCACCCCACTATATTATTAAAGCAAGAATTATCTCCTTGTATAATACAATCAATATTTGGAGCACCTTATTTCTTTGCAACTCCAAAGGCTGGGCTGCTCCATTCTCTAGATTCTTGGGGTCTTTTTCTCTTATTGTAAAGATCCACTCTCCTGAATCACTCCCACCAGAAGCCTGGCCATCTGGTTCACTTCAAGGGAGGGGAAAAAAAAGAAGTTGTTTTATTACCTACACCTTCTTGTCTGTGTTCATTCAATACACATGCTAAACAAAATCTACAGTCAAGACCAAAATCAGGATTCTATTGTGCAAGCCAGTAAGTATAAAGACAAGTATGAAAAGTAATGCAGTTTATCTTTTGGGGAAATTAAAAAAAAATGAAACCAAGATTCTTCACTAAATGTTACATTCACTTCAAAAAGAGAGGCATTAGAGATTGAAAACATTTTCCAAAGATACATAAACAAGTAACGTGAAGTGTTTTATAGCTATCTGAAAACTGGCTTTAGCAGAGTACCTCAAATCATTAGGGAAGGGGAAAAAATTAGAAGACTTAATTCACTTTGCCTAGAAAAACAGCTAAGACATTGGCTTAGAATACCTTTACGGAAGACAGTTCACCCCCAGCCCATTAGCAAGTTAAATTTTCCACTTTAAAAAAATGGCTAAAAAAGTACAGATACAGCATGGCTTTAACAAACTCCATCACCATAAATCAATCTTTTGCCTCGTTTTTTGTAGATGGCATAGTAATTTTTTCTATAACTCCTGCTAAGTTAAAAGAACAAAATATTTCTGCTGACACTAATCAGTCGCAGCATTACATGTCTCCTCTCACTGCCATAAATATCCTTCCCTAAGTTTATTTCTTTCTGATCTGTGAATTAAGAGTGATTTGCAAGAAAACCACCAATTAAGAGGGCATCTATCGGCCATTGTACAAAAGGTATGTAGCACAGCCTACCAAGTCAAAAAGCATGTGATGAGCATAAGAAAATTCTCCAAGATTTCTGCTTGAAGTCACGCAGAACTGGCTGTCACTGAAAGAGGCAGGTCTACCTTCCTTGTATACATTAGCTCTAGCAAGTTGATCCAACAGGAAAATATTTATCCATTTGGAAAGTCTGTATTCCAGCATGCCAAATCAACTCACCCTTTTATCCCATCTAATACGAGGGCTGCCGTGGAGGCTGAGGGGAAAGCAGGCTTCGACATAAATTTAAATTGTCTCACAAGCACTGAATAACCATTCTAGTTCCACTATTCTCCTATGCCAAGCTATCAAAGCTGGTCTGATATTCCACAGGAACAGTGAACTGTAACCTCAAAGTTCAGTTAGATCTCAGACCAGTTTCAGAACTAGTAATTTACCTTCCAAATCAGAGCTGGTTTGGGGCTGAAACTGTGACCACTGGAAGGCACGAAACCATCAATAATGTAGGACAAATACACAGCTGCAATGGCAGCCATGAAATCATAACCAGCCTGATGCTTGCCATTAGCACACAGAATGGAATTGCAGACAATAGTTGTGTTTTTTTTATTATGAAGAATTTAATCCATTTGTGAATACATTGTGGCAATCCCTTAACCTGATTTTCAAAAGCGTGTAATCTGATGATACTCGCTATTTTCAAAATTACTTTTAGACTAACATCCATTTGTGAATACATTGTGGCAATCCCTTAACCTGATTTTCAAAAGCGTGTAATCCGATGATACTCGCTGTTTTCAAAATTACTTTTAGACTAACAAAGTTAACTTTTTTGTTGAGTCATAACCATTTCTAACTTGGTTTCCCAAGGAAACCAACTCATGAACCTACTGAACAGCTCCATCAAAATTTGATGGAGAGAAGTAAAAAATCGGAAAGAAATCTGGAAGTTTTGTAAAAATTTTTTTTTTTTTTCTCCAATAAATAATCTGACATTTCATGACTATCATGATGTAATGGCCCAGCCTTCCTGGAAGGTTAGGAAAAAAAAAACCCACACAAAACCCTCTCATAAAAAATCCTGGGCAATATGGTTTGTACTCCAAAACCCCATTATCACACAAGCATTGCCCACTAACCCTCTCTTATATGCAAGTATAGGCTTCTGTCTGTTTACTCAGATAGCCAAAATGAAGGACAACCCACCACTAAGGAGACAACTTCCCTCCTTAGGCAGCCAGGTGCACAAACAGAACAGCGCGTGTGCACATTGCTACCTGGCCATGCAGGGGGAAGCCTACCTTCTGCTTGCACGACAGGAGAAACAGTTGGCCTTACATCTAGGAAGGACCCTAGACCCTACATAAAAGAGAAGGTAGTGTAGAATGGGCCAGAAGAATTGTTCTTGGAGACTGTTATTTGCATGAAGTCCCTTGCAACACTGAAATTAAGATTTCATTAGTTTACCAAGGCTGCTAAGCTGAAAAGCTGTAAATAACAAACCACAGGAATACATGTGCTAAAAATAACTACTTGGCTCCTATAATTACAAAGGATATTTTACAAACTCAAACTTACGTATCTGAGTCATCAGAACTGGAGTCGTCATGACTTTGTTCAGACTTCCATCTCTTGTGCCTATCAATAAGGTCAGTCAGGTAGGAAGTTTTCTTTGAGTTTCGTAAAATAAATTTGTGTTTTAAGAGCTCTTTTGCAGTAGGTCTCTTAACAAAAAAAAAAAAAAAAAATTTTACTGCGTTTGATTGTGTTAAGTGACTCACTATAAAAAGATCCAGACTTCAGTCCAGTCTTGATACAAATGAGATTTTAAATGTATACAGTATAAAAAAAAAAAAAAATAATAAAATATGCTGGCAAATATGTTGCCCCATATTAGAAAAGATCAACTTCACTTATTCATGTAATTCGTGTAAACCAGTCAAGTTCTCTACTATACATTGACAAACAGATGAAACTCACAAAGCTTGGGTCCTTGTTTAAGCAGGCCTCAACAAATTCTTTGAGGGATTTACTGAAGTTTCCTTCGAGTGTTGGTGGATTGTTCTTAGGAATGAGGAACAAAACCTTCATTGGATGTAATTCTGAATGAGGTGGCTCTCCTTTTGCAAGTTCTATGGCTGTTATGCCTAACGACCAGATATCTGCCTGTAAGAAACAATGCTGTTAAGATTAGGTTGGAGGAAGAAAAAAAACAGTGCTGCTTGCAAAGGTAGATTTTAAACCTTTACTCTAAATCATTTTTATGTACACTGTTTTTGTTAACATGGTCTGGTTTATGTGGTTAACCACATAAAATAAAGTACACATATTTCCTTGGTTGTTTTCACTCTACTAAGTAGAACTGCTTTATGCCGTATAGTTTTAAAAATGTTTGAAGTCAATACTATTACACCAGCAGCTATAACTGATCTTGAAACACAAATATTTTTAAACAGTAATGGCAGAGTTGTTACAAACTAGCATCTTGCCCACCGTATTCAAGTACACTATGTAAATATGAGCAAGACTCAAATATTGGCATGAAGGAAAATGTTACAACATGCACAAGATTTTTCCTCAACAAGCATCAGCTAGTACAACCATCAGAAATTTAATACATTAGAATATCATTTTCCTGGGGTTTAACATCATCTTGTATATCATTCTTATTCACAGACTAAAGAAATGTAGTCTAGAACAGTATTATTCAACTTTTTCAGCCCAAGATCTCAACCAGTTAAGTATTAGCTCCAAGTAGCTTCTAAAATATCGACAGCATTTTTCTACCTGATCTGCTTTGTAGACCTTCTCCTGTGAGCCAAGTCTTGTAGACCAAGAAGGCCTAATCTAAATCAAATTTAGACAAGTCATGCCTATACAAAATGCAGATCCAAAGGCTCACTACCAAGTTAGAGGGACAAATCAGGTAATGCAGCAGAGACCAGTGATAGATCCACTACCATTTAATTTCATTGATGAGTTGGATTCACATTGTTCACAAATCCTATTGCCTGAAGAAATGTGAAGCAATGCATCATAATTCTCGCTGTTCTGCTGAAATAATAGACTTTAAAGTCAAAAGAATGGATGAATAAATCCCTCAGAAAGGTGAAAAAAAGATTCACAGAAACATCTGTTCCAAAGGACAAGATACCAATTAAAAATATTTATGTTTTGTTTCTCCTGTTTCTTTTGAAGTGAAAGCAGGATAAAGACTCAGGAAAACAGGAAAGATCTGAAGTGAGCTGTCTGTTTTTTCTTCCAAACAGAGCATTTGGAACTTTGCTACGCTGTAAACAGATCTATTTCCAGGTACTGGATAGAGCAGAATTTCATTTATCACTGCTGTCCTTACTAAGTGTCCCTCTAATCCATCTGACTCCGCTCGTTTGGTGTGCTAGGTTATCTTTGACTAACTCACACAGGACTACAGGCTGATAGCTGCAATGCATGCATCCATTCCACTATCATAGCTACCGCGCATGACTAAAACCAAGCTCCTTCTTCCTTGTTCAGACAGTATTCTATCGTTAAGAGCTTGGTCACTTCGTTTTGCAAGTTAAGTATGGAAAAAAGAAAACACCTGAGCCAATTAGCATACCATCAAATTTATGAAATGATGTTTTGTTAACCCATCTTACAGAACTGCCATCTCACACCGAGTAGAGAGGATTACGTAAGTATATGAGCTCCAAGTTTCATTAATCTTAATTACAACATTATCTGCTAAGCTATCCTCAAGTCTGAGTATAATTGTAAGTTCCCTCTAGCACGAAAACTTTCCTTGGTTATGAAAGAAAAATTAGACCTGTGAAGATGAGTCTTCACATTAACAACTGAGCGTTATTATTTCCAATTTAGTCTGAATTTCAGTTTCTCAAAAGGAATGTGTTAAAGCCATATAAATGGGCAGACCTTCTGCCAGACTTTCAGTCACAGATGGAGCATGTGTACATGTAAGCATAAAAATAAAATGTATATGTACATGTGTGCATAGATATCCACATGCACACGTACATATATATAAATACTTTTTTTCCTCATATATTTATAACTTTATACTGCTAGTGACCTCCCTCCACAAAAAATGAATTAAAAAGTCCAAAAAGCACAGCTGCACACTGAACTCTTTGTAGTCCAAGATGGGTTTTGGAAGCCCATTCCTGATGGAATCATCAAGAATAAAACACCCAAATTCCTCTGGAAGTGTAACCTCTCCTTTCATAGATAAGCAAGAATCTCAAAACAGGAACGCAAGCACCAACTGCACGTGTATCCAACTAGGCATTTCTAGGATGCATTTGTCTGTGTCAATGAAACCCCAGAACAGGGGCAAATCCGTCTTCCAAACGAGGAGGGAGAAGCATGACCTTAAGAAGTGATGACACTAGACCATCACCAAGTTTTACCATGTTATGATTTTTAATTTCAAATCTTGAACAAAAATTATTCTTCCAAGTTCAGATGAGAGTCAGCAAATTATTGGTAACTACTATTTACTGCAGCACTGCCGTAAGCCTTTCCTCTTCCATTGTAATGAGTCAAATTTAGTTTGACTTTGAATCTCTTGTACGTCAAAGAAAACAGGCTAAGTGCAATTTTAAAATTAAATATTTAGTTTTCTATTAGAAGTTACAGAGTAGAAAGGACAGAGAACTAGATATGGGAAAAGTGAAGCACATAAGAAAGGATGCTGATGTTCAGATGAAGAAAGGAGTCAAAACAGGAGGAAAAAATAAGAACTACTGCCAAAGTAACAAAATAAAAGGGAAAGATCTTATGAGGGCATTTTATCAAGGAACAAATAGCTTGGAGAGAAGGAAATAAATGGTATGGGAAAAGATAAAAAAAAAAGTTTAAAAAACAGGTGGTAGCTTTAATATAACTATTACAATCATGTTTTGACATTTCACTGTTTTTCCCTATTTCATGGCTGATAAAATCTAGTTGCTAAAGAAACTATTACCTCCATGGATTACTTGGACTTTTTAAATAACTACAAGAGAAAACAAAAGAGAAAGCTGAACTTTTTACTACCAAGTATGCCTCTCAGATTAGCTACTGACCACATCAAAATGCAGATGTTCTAGGCAGCTTACTCTCTCACACAAGCTATCTGGAAATCCTGTGTTCTCAAATATATCAGTCTGAATTATTATATACAAAAGTCTGATAGAAGCTGTTGAAATTTTAGTATCTATGTCAAAAATTACATACCTTGATTATTTTTTAGGCAATAAAGACAAGTGTTGGAATGTCTTGTAAATATACCTTGCAATATACCTTGCAATATATGGTCTGAGGAAGAATAATAGGAGTGTCTTAAGGACACAAAACAGTTTGGGAATGGGACTGAATAAAGCAAGAATGGGATAGGTAAATTCCGTATGGCAGTTAAGGAATACACAGCTCACATATGCGTAAAACAGTCCAAAAAGCCTCACATGATCTTGAGAGCACAGTATTGAGAACATAAATTGGGACTTGGTTTGACATTGTTAAGTTTCACATATTTTAAAAGAAAAATACACAAAATGTATGCATTTGTCAAATCCTGAATTAAACCAGCATTTTCAAAAATTACTTTTTAATCTATTAAAAAAACTTGCTTCGCTACCTTAACAAAAGAGAAAAGATATTATATACATACATTCCCATAACATGCATTTTTGGGAAAAAAGAATAAAGACTATATGTTAAGCATTCATTACTTTTATACAATCTTAGGAGACATTAACTTGAATGTTAAAATATTATAAAGTAATGCAAAGACAACAAAGATAAAATGCTTTCAGCTAAAACAGTGTAAGGTATTCACACAAGAAAATTGCCCAGAAGTTTGTCTCTTCAATTCTGAAATCTGTGTTTGACAGAGCAGTTAACTTAGAAACACATGTGAATTCAGAGGAGGTGTAACTATATCTTCATATCCAAAACTGCTTAAAGTGGAAATCAATATACTTGCATTCATTATGTTGATAATATAGTGTAAGCCACGGTCAGGAAATCCACCAACTGCCCATAATACTTAGGCAAGTGATTATAATGCTGAATCAACAAGAGACCTTAAGCTTTATAGCAATAACTAGCAGCGTTAGACCTCGGGATGCCCCTGCCTTCCTTTAGCCTGGTTAGTAGTTTTGTGTCATAATGTAAATTTTGCTTTGCCTTTCACAGTTGTGCTCTTTCAACAGTCAGCAGGAGCAAAGATATCAACCCGATCAGAAAAGAAGCACTAAACAATTGAACTGTTGGTGTGAGGCATACAGTGAATGAGGAAAGATGCAGATGAACTGTGTCCAAAGTGGTGTTACAGACCACTTTCAAGCTTTTATAGGGAACCCCATCAGCATGTGGAAAAGTAAGAGGATTGAACAAGGCAAAGAACAAAAGTGGGTAACACAGAAACTACATAATGAAAATTGCTTGCACCTCACTGGGAGCATGCTATGAAGTGGACAGTCCTGCTTAACACCCCTCAAGCATGGCCAGCTTATGGAAGGAAAATGAGGATAGCTTTGGACGTCTGTGTTTCACATATGCATAAGACTATCTTAAAATAAACAGGCCTTTTCAAGTGGTTGTTGTGCAACAACAGCAAAACTATTGTCTGTACAATTTAGTCTGGTCTCTAAGTGCTGAAAGGCTCACAGACACAAGTAAGAATCTCTAGTTCACTCGAGATTTGAAATCTGGCCTTCTACGAAACTGATCTAGTATCCAAGACCTTTTTACGTCCACATGACATGACATTGTAGACCAAAGCAGCTGGAATTCAAAACCTGAGGACTGAATCATGCTGTGGTCAAGTGAAAATCATTCCCAGAAGGCAAACCCTAAAAAAACCCCCAACCAGCAACACCCCAAAACAAACCAAAAAACACTATCCATATCAAAAATGGTTTATTCACCCTTCAATTTGGGAATTTGGGGTCATTTAAGCTTCTAGAGGCTCTATAGAGCTCTGCTAGTTATTTTTAAATAGCCTCTCTACAGAAAGATATCAAATAGGAAAGCAAGTAATACTACAAACAATCTAGGCCAGAGTCAGTATCAGCAAGTCCTTACATGGATGAGCGTGGAAAGAAACACGCCAACCTGTCTCATTGCACGGAGATGTGACTAATCAACAAATCCCTACAAGGGATGAGAGAAGATGGGCAAGAAAGATGAGTTCAGGGAAGACCATAAGGAATGACTGCTAATTATCATAAAGTAAGCTGATCTTAACACAAGTGGGACTCGAGGGTGACCTTTATTTCAGATATACAGCTGCACCACTGGGTCATCGGGTTGTACAAACAGCCTTCCCCAATATAATCAGTAAAGCAACGTCTTACTGAGCTGGCCAGACCAGCATGGGGGAAGGCAGCAAAGAGGCGTATACGCAGCTTAGCCTAACAGAAGTACAAAACCAGAGTAACTAACAAAATGAGCATTGAAAAGAGCAATGGGCTTGAGCTGGCTTCAATGCATGTATTCCTTCCTGGCAACTGGGGACACCCAGTGCCATGCTGGTGAGCCTATGTAGACTAGTAATGGGAATCACATTTCTGTTGTGATCCAACTGTATATTACAATTGACACATTGTGCTTGTGTTGCACTTTCAGTACCTTGTTGTACCACTCTGCTAAATCAAAATCCTGTGTAATGTAAGTGTCTACAAATAAGTAAATTTTATATTAAACATTAAACCCTCCGTGTATGGCATAAAAAAACATGGCCAGAGAGTAGCATAGACCTATGCAGCACATTCTTCCACAGATGAATAACAGCACTTTCAAACAACATTTTCACACCCACCAAATCTGTATTCTTCAACACTGTGGAAGCATATTACCATTTTGCCTATATTTGCTCTCTTCTACTCATCACTAGAGCGGGATAAAAGGTGACAGGATGTACTTGTCAATATTGTAATATTGCTTGCCATCTGGATGGGAATCTTAAGGTTTGGATACAAATTAGGAAAGTTTCTTTCCTTGTCAACAGCTTTTAGCTGCTAACATACCCATCTACATACAGCCAAAGTTATTAGCTACATTCTGAAGACCAACCTATGTAATTCAAGTTTAAAAAGGAAGAGACTTTGGCTAATGCCTTGAAATACCTTACCTTCGAATCATATGCTGATTGCTTTATTACTTCAGGTGCCATCCAAAATGGTGTTCCCACAAAGGTATTCCTCTTTATCTGTGTATCCGTTAGTTGTCCTGCTACTCCAAAATCTGCTAGTTTTACTTCTCCTTGTTCAGACAGCAATACATTAGCAGCTGGAATAAAGAAGAATAGAGTGGAAATTAAGACAGTCAACACTGTGAGGGTGTTCATTTATACTGTGTGAGCTCTTCTAATATTATTACAATACAAATCAAAACCAATTTACCTTTAATATCTCTGTGGATTTTCTTTTCTGAATGCAAATAATCAAGTCCTTTTAGTATCTCCCTCAATATTGTGGCAATCTGTGTTTCATCGAGTGAGCCAGGTTCTAACTAGGAGACACAATAAATATTTTTTTTTTTATGCAAGTGTGCATGTATACATATATATAAAAAACAGAAGAAACACAGAGAACAGAAATAACAGTGTGACTACAAAAAGAAATTGCTCCTTCTGTCACACCTCAGAACTTCCAATTTGCTAACTTCATAACATGAGATACAACCCAGAATGTTCTTTAAAAAAAATACATAGTTCTAAACTAAGCGGCCTTGCGAACAACAGGCAAAGAAATACTTTGTATATCTAAAACACTTTTGTAAGTTTGTTAAAGGCTCCACAAAGACACAGTTTCAAGTTATTTCTTTGTGGTAAGGTCATTTGCCTTTGAAAAGCATCTACATGGTAATCTGATTATTAACATTACATTGAACTTAGACGTGCAACTCCACAGGGCCTATATGGACCCAAATCTCAAAGTCCAAGAAAGAAACTAAGTCATATAAGGTACCACATCAATCACATATCCTATTAATATACACTGCATGGGATTTTGTGAAGCACTCTAAAACACAACTCATACTGCTAGGCCGACAGAGCATTGCATATTAAAAAAAAGTTAACTTTTTTCATATAAAACTGAAGGTATAAATCTGCAAACTGTTAGAATTAAAAGTTCCAAGTAATTTTAATTCTTATGAGAAGAAACAGCAGTGGTAGAAGATCTCAGAGCTCTCTACATCTCACAGAAATTCTAAAAGTGAATACGCCCTTTAATCTAAAGGGACAAAGGAAAGGTCACTACCTAGAGAGGCTTCTTAACCAGTAAGAGCATTATGAGAGAAACTCTGGAACTTTGCGGACAATAATTAATATTGGAAATATTCCAGTATGCTAGGTTATTCCACAATAGCAGTCACTGAAACACAATCAAAAAGTTACATCTCTGAAGCTTCAGTCCATGAGAAAGAAAGCATTTCAGATAAAAATTAAAATATTATATGCCTCAAATCCTCAGCTAATAGGTAGAAAGAGAGGTCAAATTTTGTGTAATGCAGACAACATATTTATTTTACCTTTGTAGCTTTACTTACAATCTGTTTTGCTTTTCTTTAGCTTTGATAATACACATGATATTGCCACTCCCTGAAACCCACTGAGACATTCGCAAGGCTTTGCTCCAGCCAGGCTGCAAGGGCCAGCGAGAGCCTTGGCAACACAACACAGCACATCTAATGGGCCAACACCTCTTTTCTCAGATGTTAGCTCACCTTAGTGAGGAGGAAGTTAGTGAAAACAGACTAAGGCTGAGAATATTAGCGCCTGTACCTCAGCCAAAAACCTAAATTATACTCAAAGTTGAACAACAACGTACATGTAATTGCATTAAATGTACTTTCTCTTGTGAGGCGTGACTTTCAAAAAAGCCAGTGCATATTCAAGTACAGAAAACACCAGGCTAACACGACAGGTATACACTTCGAACATGGAATTCAAGGTTCCCATTCAGTCTTGCCTCGAGTATGGTTACATAATAAAGTGTGCCAGTTGTCCTACCAGATTCCAGTTGAGAACCGTAATGCGCATGGTAGAACTAGGAAAACATGCAGCAGAACGTAAATGGAAAATGAATGAAGCACACACAAGGGGCTTAATATACACTTACATGATGATTTCAATTCTGTGGCGCAATTTCTTCAATAATATTTTAGGATGTGACCAAAGACTTTGTACAATTTCTAGGCAACAAGCTTGGGGAATAAACATGTGGTCATCACACAAGTGAAATGTGTGTGATTAAAAAAAAAAACAGACAAGAAAATATCATAACATCTGTTTTCTTTCTGCTCTTTTATACTTTTTTGAAGCACAAAGAAAGTAGTAATTAATTTATAAAAGCAAACCCAGTTTCTAATTGCTCTTCTGTCAGGAAAAAAACTATCACAACAATAAACTTTTTTCAGCATATCTTTATAGGGAACATTATAAATTTCTACAAAACCACAGAACTCCTTCTAACAGGATGTGGAAACTGAAGGTATAAATAGCATCCAAAAGATAATTACAATTAAAATATGGCAGCACAACTGCAGGAAGCCCGCATTTACTACCCTGTCCTGTCTTATGGATGTCAGCAGCAGAATCCCTCTACACTGGCCTTTTTCCTTTTTCTTTTTCCTCAAGCATTTTTTAGTTGCCCCAGTTGAGAACAGGAAACTATGCCACAGAGACATTCTGTCTCAAGTGGTATGACAGTTTTCACATACTTAAAACATCCATTTTTATTTCTATAATAGTATTTTAAAAATCCACAATAAATTTAAGATGGTGTGAGCTTTTTGTTTGGTTCCAGTCACAGAAAACACAATCTGCACTGAACCTTCTGAATTATGATTCAAAACCAGGTACTCTGTCCCAGGTGGAGTCCCAGAATGTGGCACTTGCGCTGGTTAAATTTGATATGGTTGGTGATTGCCCAGGTCTCGTTGTAAGGCCTCTCTACCCTCAAGGGAGTCCACAACTCCTCCAACTTCTTTGACATATAGTTTTTAATACCAGCCTAAATTGTGTTTCTGTCTATTCAGACATCAGCGAGACTTCAAACAGGGAAAGTTTTGTTTATCTGAGGATGGTGATGGTGGGGAAGATACCTTAAAATGTATACAGTAGGAGGAGTTATGGTGGCAGGATTAATAGACAAAAAAAAAAAAAAAAAAAAAGTATTTTCAGCCACTAGTGCCCTCTGGCTGACTGAAGATTAGCATTCCAAGATGTTTATATCCTGTTTCCAATATTATGTTGCTTAGTTCCCTTCCATCTCACAAATAATCAGTCTTGCCTCATGGAAAATAACTTTTTCCTGGCATTGACAAATACTTTTTCTCCTTTACTGGAACCAAACATTGTCATAGCCAAATGACATGTTACAGTTTCCAGAATTACAAGATCGGAAAATAATTATGTGAGGTAACATAACAAAAATCATACATAATCTACTTACTAGATCAAGGGCAGAGCCTCCACCCAGATATTCCATTATTATCCATAATTTTGTATCCTGCAAAACAAAAACAAACAAACAAAAGTATTAAGTTAAAAAAAAAAAATCAGTTAAGTTAGTGGGACTTGTTCCATTCTTTTTGCTGAAGAAAATCTACAGTTTTGAAACACCACTCATGTTTAGCTGTTCCTCCAAAATACCTTTGGGTTATATTTCAAGATACATTATTTTTAGTCCCATCTGATAAGAAATTAATTTAGTCTGTCACAAGCTATTTACACAATTGTGTTTGTTCAAGCAAGTTAAATTCTGTTCCTCTAAATTAACAAGAGGAAAACTGCTTCACATTTACCAATGGGCAAGAGCACAGACACTAGAAGTTCATTACTTCCAAATAGTTGGTGTCACATTCAAGCTCATTTCATGGTACCTCGTTTTTGTACCGATACTAATACTACTAGAATACAGGCAGCATCCAGGAAAAAAGAAACTTCTCTTTAATCCCTACCAACCAGTCAAGTAGCAGAAGGAAACCTCTTGCCCTTACACCAGCTAGAACTGGACAAGTATTCTGAGCCTAAGTTCAACAGCATATTACCTTCCAAAAGCCACCCACCTACTTAATCTTATCACACTCCTCAGTACATTTTGCAAAAGTATCTTCTGAAACAAGAGAGAGACAGACAGGGGCCACTAAATGAAAGCTGAGGAGAATAAACATACATTTTATAACTGATTACAGACATTCATCATACCAAATAATAATTACATTAAATAAAATATATTTCCTTTTATCAGAAAAAAATGTCTTGATTTTGTTGATTATCTTTATTTGTACAGCTACTCAAAAATATTTTCTTTAATAAGACTGACTCCTGTCTGGATTAAATTTAATTTAAAATTTATTCTTTGCATCTCTGTGTTGTTTCATTTTCTTGAACAATCATCTGTCTCTGACCTAAGGAAGAATACCAGTAAGTCTTATGCATTAATGCTTATGCATTTGATACATGGTATGGAATTTTGGATAACTGTGTTCAAGAAAGATCAAGCAAGCTAGTAATAAAGGTTATTTAAGATGACTATAGCAGTTTGCTAGCTTTAGCTAGTAAAATGAAAGCTACCAACAACAAAAAAATAATCAAGCTACTATATTCGCAAGGGAAAGCTTCCCTTGTTTAACACAATGTGTACAATACACTGTACTAAGGAAGAGACTGGACCAAATAATTTCTTTCCGCTGTTTGAGGTATCTTATTCCCAAAAACACTAAGAGAAGGAGTTAGTCCACCTTTTCCTTGCAGTACCAGCCTTGAAACATGTTTTAAAGCAAGGTCACAAATCCACCAGATATATATTCAAATGAAATTGCTGCATGGAACATATGGTGGGTTTTGTTTTAGTTTTTATGATTATCAAGTTACATGATGGTTTATTAGTTTTAACTCTATGTACCAAACATTCCCAAGACTACTGGCATAAAAATGTAGGGGTCTCTAAGAGCAAAGAGCACATAAATAGCAACAGTATTCATTTACTTTATTCTGGAAAAAAAAAAACAAAAAACAACCAAAACCCAAACATTAACAAAAATAACAGCTCACAGCCAGAGCAGGTAAGACTCAGAATACTCATCTATAAAGACGGATTAAAATTTTTAGAAAAGTGATAAATGTATTGCAGAACATAACTTTTTCTAAATCTCCTTAGGGATTAGAAAATTTTAGCCCTTAGTACTCACTTCAGCCTTTTAGTCATTATTAGAGCTGTAGCTTCATCTGCATCTGTCTCCTCTCTGGTCTCAGAATGCACCTTCTGTAGGTAAATGCACACAGCCCTCCCTCCCTACCTCCAGTTACACGAACTGTACCATTTTTAGGTAAGACCCTGGATTAGAGTTCCTTCATCATCCACTATTTTTAATACACAGATCCAGCTAAATTTAGATACCTTTCTTCAGGAGTCAGCTAATATTATTTGACAAACAGTCTTGTTAAAAATATTTTAAAAGAGATGGAACACATTTTTTGGTGAGAAAAATAATTTTAAAATATAATCTTACTATCTACATACAGCATTTTGATTACTTCCTGAGAGAGACCATTATAGTACAGAAATATTTATTTTGCTGCTAAGAGTTTCTCAGATTTTGCCTGTCCCTTCAAGGCTCCATGTCCCAACAGTTCCAGAACAAGCATGCTTCTGAGAGGTGTCTTATAGTAAGTCATTTCAACTTTAGAAATCTTCCTAAACTTGATCAAAATTTTATATACATATTTTGCTTGAGCCTGATAACATATTTTACAACTATATGACATTCCCTGAATATTCAAATTCTGTGTGCCTGCAAAATTTACATTTAATTTTAATAGTAATTTAAACACAAACCTGACAACTGTATCACTACTTTTTATTTCAATGGACATGCCTGGGTGGGAAAGAACAAGGTAGATCAGACAAACCCCTTGATCCTCTCAAAAATAGAAACAAACCAACCAACCAAGAAGTCAGTAAGAGATGCACCGTCCCTTTTCTATCATCTTGATTGCTGTGTGGATTTAAAAAGCTAACAACTTGAAATAAGAGACAATCTCCCAAAAGAGAGATTTTCCATAAAACCAACTACTAAATTCTCCAGCTGAAAAATTAGAAATTAAAGGTAGCAGAAAATAACTAAAAAAAATTTAAGAATATTATTTTAGTTACATAGTTGCACAATCATGTAACACAGTTACACAACTACAATTTACAACATTAATAGTCTTTTAAAACCATTTATCCTTTTCAATTCTTATCCTGGTCTGCTCAGTCTTTGCTCCTGAAACTTTCATCATCAACTGCTTGAGGTCACATGTCGGAATTTACAATATAAAAGCCACGGATCCAGTAAACTCAGTAATACTGTATTTTAAAACAAGTAAAGTATGGAGATGCAGCTAGGGAGTACACACATAACTGTATCTGTATCCCAGTGTGAAGCAAACCAACAGCAATCTATTACAATTATGGTATCTTTACACGTGTAGCCCTAGATTCAAAGTGATTTTTAAATTCCCTGGCAAGGGGATTCCCCTCCCCCCTTGCCACAGAAATATTACTCAACTTCATGAATGTTTTGGATTTCTTTTTTCAAGTTTTCATCATTTATATGAAGTATGTGAACAGATGTAATTACTATTGTAGTGAATCTTACTATCACCTTTAAGTGATCCTTGCTGGAATTTTTTATTAGCTTTCTTATGTAAAATCTGCATACATTGCTTAACAAAAAAGGCAAAGAAATGCTTTTGGTGAAAGAGTTTTATTGAATTGCTTGATACCTCAGCGCCAGTAACCTACATATACTTACTTTATGCCTAGTAACAACAGCACAAGGCAAGTAGAGCACTACTGTCAATCGACTTAGGCACCACCAGGGCAATGTGCCTCCTTTCCTTCCTTTCCGAGGATCTTCAGCATGCTTCACATTCCCTAACACCTACCGTCAGTTTTCTTTTTAAAGCTGCCCAAATTCTTTTTTTTGCTTGTACTTCTCACATTCTTCTGTATACATTCCCCACTTTTCCTCTCAAACAGAACACCACAAGCACTAAATTTTCTTCCATAGCCTAGATTAGTAATTACATATTATACCTAATCACTTATATTTTCAAGAAGATACTATGCTTATATACTGAGACTAGCAACATTCAGTGCTCCAATTCAAGATCTGAAATAAGACCAGTTTTCTTCATCACATCAGTCACAACACAGCATTGAATTTTCTTCCAAATACAGTGAAGCCATGGTGAGTCATCAAACCAAATTTAGGAATATTATTTCTCTATAAACATAGATGAGCACATTAATGAGGGCACATGGGACATTTTCCTTTTCACAGTAGGAACAAGAGTTTTTCTTCTGATGCCATGAAACTGAAGAAAGGAACAATTTGGAACCTAAAAGAAGCTCTGTTACAGAAAAGCGGAGTTTCTGTAAATCCTTTCCAAACTAGTTTGTTCTTCTTGAGGTCTGACTTCAGATTTTAGTTCTGGAACCACACAAAAACCTTACAACAGCAGCTTTACCTCTAATGAAGTATTCTCCATTAAGTCACTGTTATACCATGAAAGTATTTGTAAAATAAGTAGTTACAGTAGGTAAAGAACATCTCCTAATACACAGAAATCAAAGACTATACACTGAAAAAAAAGCCATCCACCAAAAAACTCCTCTAGAGTCTCAGAAGTACATTTTAACTGCAATCAGAAGACTATAGAAGATATATATGGAAATAAGTAATCAAGACTAAAATGTTTGTTTATAAGTCCTTACAAAATTAATAAAACATCTGAATAAACACGGCCGATCTTTAGAGATGCTTTGGTTTTGTTGTGGGGGTTTTTTTGGTTATTGTTTTGTTTTTTTGTTTTATTTTGTTGGGTTTTTTTTTACAAGAGCATACTCAAATATTTCTCAGCAGCATGATATTATACAGGGGAGACTGACCTAAAGCAATCAAGCCACAGTATGCATTGATGAAAATGTTTCTAAATCGCCTTTCTTGAGGGAAGGAGAAGTTGCAGAGGAAAATATAACACAGGGCTATGAAAGAGGACTAGAAGGACTTGGAAGTAAGAGCACCAAGTGACCCGTACAATAATTTAGAATTTAACTAAAAGTCTTAAACCAAGGAAGTCAACTAATGCAATTTGAAAACAGTAGTACCACAGTGAACACGTGTTTGTTTCCAACTGAAATAAAATCCCCCCCACCTATTGTGAGAATTTCCCACCTTAAATTTATGGTACACACTTAGAAACAGAATAGAGAGTATCTATAAATATGTACAAAAGGCTCGTTTAGTTCTGGAGACAAGCCATCTCCAAATTCCACTTCGAAGCTATATTTATAAGCACTTTAACTTACATCAACAATCACAAGCTAGAAACTACATACTTGACTGAAATAATGCAACAATTTGCTAATGAAAATAAGAACTAGCTTACGTTGATCTATATACTAAAAGTTTTACCATCACTAGACTTGCAGAAGAACCTACAGTATTGAAAAACAGA